GTGATGTGAATCTTCCGACACACATTAGTTTGGCACCATCTGTGGGAAACAAAATCCAGTTCGACACAGTCTTGGAGTCTGAGACGTCGGGCCCGTGCTTCTTTGCATTATTCATGGGGAGAACCTTCGCTGTAATATCGAAAAGCCGTTCACGTTAACGTTCCAGACAAGATTGTGGTGGAGTAGTCTTCCTGCAATTTATTCAGACATGAAGTCTATGTAAACTACTTTCAGTTTTTTTTTTTTGGATGGAGGGGGGGATAACTTTCACCACTTGCTTGAAAGGTTATTCACGTTAACATCCTAGGTACGATTGTGATGGGGCAGCCATCCCATGTTTTAGTAAGACATCGAGTCTTTGGGAACCTCTTTCTGACTTAGGGATAACTTTCATAGAGAAGAGATCTCCCTCAGCACCCCCACTATATTGGAGTTCTTCCTCAACTTGATCAAGAAGTTGATCATTTAAAACTTGATACATGGGATGCTTTACAGGCTCGTGTGTGCAATGCCCCCATTGCAGGACAACAAACTTAAAAGTAACAATAGAAATGTTGCAAAATATTATATGGCCACAATCATATTTCCAAGAAAAAGTATGATACATCTCGACTTACACCCAAATTTTGAGAAATATAGAGAATCTCTAAAACCTCATTCCGAGCTTAATCGGCCCCAGAGGGACTCAATTCGACCTCTTTCATCACATGCTACGATCGTCAAATAAAATTTTTAGATACCCCATATAATTTCTTGGTAAATTTTCTTTCGACTTCATCCATAATAGCTTATAATCGTCAAGTAAAAGCCTCAACTAACCTTGAATAGTTCAAGCATTTTTAGTGGATTTCATTTGAATTGTCCTTAACATGTTAACACAGTCGAGCATCTCAGGTTGTACAACATAGTAAGGGTCTTATATCTTTAGTGGATTACAATTGACTTAGTACATTACAAGTTACGATTGTCGAGCAAGTGCTCTGACTAACAATCAGGATAAGTTGTGCATCACTAACTGGGGACTTTTCTTCATCTCTAGTAACGAGACCTAGGATGGGTTGACATTATTTGAGCAACTCCAAAAATTTTTGTTAACTCTTAGCTCGCCATGCAATTTTCTAATCTAAGATTCAGTACTATGTAAAGAATGATGTGATATTCAACAAATGTAATATGAGGTCAAAGATATGCATTATCACAAAATGTAATAGGCTACATCAAGCAGATAAATAATTGCATAAACTGACACAATGCCTATATCAAATACATAAAAACTACAAAGTTTAACACACACAGTATAAAAGCTACAATAAGTCAACAGAAATAACCAATACAAATGTACAAATACAAAGTACTAATCTACTATAAAAATCTTCTCTTCATTTGAAATATGCTCCTGCAAGTCACTTCAGTTGGACCCCTTTTCTGAGCCAGAGAGGAGATTGTTAGGCTCCTGGACAAAAAACATGCCCTCGAAATTAGTTGTAGTCCGACGGTACGATCGGTGGAACTATTCTTCTTGCGCCATGGGATTACAACGTTCTCTTCCTCGAAAGCCAATATTCTCACTTGAAAAACTTGTAAAGTCTCCACGCTCTGATCGAGGTTCGCTTGTGTCTCCCTTAATTCTTCTCAGGAGCCATTAATTCTTGGTGTTATTGAGAAAAAAATAACGATATAGAGGATATTTTGTTTTTGCACTTTGCTAACCTACATCCTAATGACAATATCTATATTACATGGAAGTTATTCACCTTATGGTGCTTGTTAAAGATGTGGTCGAACAGTGTAAATTTGGTCTTTCGTGCCCTCAAAGAAAGGGTTAACTCATTTTTAAAGGGTATCAACATCGTCACCTCATAATTCTAGTACTTCCACTGATTTTCAGGGGGACAAGATTCCCCAGATGTCGGCATCTCAAAGCATGAAAAATCTCCCCTGAAAAGCACAACAGCATGGCGAAAAACTTCCCCCACAAAGCGCACCAACAACATAGAAAGTCTCCCCTGAGGGTGCACGACAACAACAAAAAAAGGAGCTTCATTAATGGCACAATAGCAGGCCGAGAGAGTCTA